AGAAGTGATACTCAACATCGAAAGAATTAGATTAAATCAATAAGTTAATGTTTGCAACATCGAACCACTGATTACGAGCGAAAAAGAAAAACAAAGGCTCATAATCAGTTTTCAAAAGTTTTTGCAAACACCACTTTAGCCATTTGGTTACGGCACTAATTAAATTTCGAAAATGCCCTTTACGAAAAAAAAGAAAGAAAAAACACGTGAGAAATGGGAATACTCACTTATGCTGTCGCCGAGCTCAAAATCTTCCTTGGCAGCCCAAGTTCTGTACGCAATATCCCCAGCAGGAGGAATAGTCCACCCCAGACTGTCTCCGACCGTACGAGTATCGGCGGCACAGCCCGATAATAGGGTGGCTGCCGCTACTAGCATCCCAATCATCACCAACTTTTTATCATAACCCATTTTTATATATATGTTCTACAGATCACCCCTGTTGGCCTCGTTTCAATTAACTTCTCTTTCTAATTTGTTTTCTTTGATTACTGGTCAAGAGAAGAGCGTAGGAATTGGTATGTCATGCATGAGAGATTACTACTGTATTTATATCTCTAAATCATGTGTATAATTGCGTGTTTTGAATAAGTAAAAAATATACAGAACAGATTAGTTCAAATTAGGTGTGCTTGCTTTTTTGTGTTCTAGATACTAGAAAGTCTGTTTATTTGACTATAAAACAATAATAGAATATTTAATGCATAATTGGTCTATATTGGTCGCTTAAAGTTTGTAGTGAAAAAACAAAATGAAAAGAGAAAATGGATTCATTTATCCCACAAATTAAAGCATCTAGAAACATACATTGACTATTTTATGTATTATGTAGATGCGGAATATTGTGTTCACGTAATAACGTGTTAAGGAGGTCAGATAAGTTGACTACCAAAAACTTGTGATAGTTCTATTTTATTGTTTTATTTATTATTTTGTGTTAACTTTTCAATTGTTATCCTACTATTATAGATTACTATTATAGAGCGGTAAATAACTTTGCACCCATCTACGCATCTATTCTAACTCTCAACGAATTCCTAGAATTTTAGGTGGAATGGGAATTGTAATTCTTTTTACTTCTCGAGGTATAATGACAGACCGGAAAGCTCGACTAGAAGAAACAAATGGCCTACCTAGCCCATATGGCCCGTAGGCTCAGCCCACTCGGTCCACTGTTTTCACAGGCTGGCCCGCCCGGCCCAGGGAGGGACACTGTTAGCCCGGTTCTGCCCCTTGGTCCATTTTATCCTATTTTGATGGGGCCAAGGCAACCTTTGAAAAAAATAAAAAATTATATAATTATATAGAATGAGTTTATAAATTTTAAAATTATTGTACAAGTAAGATATATATTTATTAAAGTATTATTTGATATTTTATTAGTAGAAAATAAAATTAGAAAAACTAATAAAAGTAGAAACTGCTACGGGTCACGGGCCGGCCCAGCCCGCGGAGTAAAACTGAGGCTCAGCCCATGGAATTAGATTGTGTCTGAATACACGGGCTTGTTGTGAGCGGGTTTCATGGGTTGCGGGCCGATTGGCCTGGGCCAAAATTTGTTCATCATTATGTATTACCTTTGTAATACCTTACCCCAACTAGAAGCGAGTTCACCTTTAGACAAGGGTTGACTCAAGCACACCTCAATTGACAATTTTTATTTTATATTAAATACATATACTATTTAGTCCATCCAATTTTTACTAATTAATCTTCCCAAAATCAAAATTAATTCAAAAAAACCCCCAATTTATATTAATCAGCTCACTCGAAATTCAAATTAATGCGATAAAAAAACTCTATTTTGTTTTTTCTATTTTCCTAAGTTCTGATTAGGGGTGAACACGGGCGGGTTTGGGCGGGTTTCTGAAAAAAACCAACCCGACCCGATGTTGGCGGGTTCATAAATTGCAAACTGCACCTGCTCACTTTCGATTACAAACTGCCCTGTTCCGGTTTTTTTTAAAGATGGCGGGTTGGCGGGTAGGCGGGCGGGTTGGCGGGTTAAACAAATATATAATTAATGCAAAAATACTTCATATTATAAATAGAATATCTGGATAAATGAGACAAAACCAAACAACCAAATCCTAAATCTCAAAAACAAGTACTGTTTAATCAAAATAAACTTAAAAAGAATAAAAAAACAGAGTCCAGGACAATCAAAAGCAATCTAAAACACCCAAAAAAACTTCTTCATTCTTCAATCATTCTACAACATCAAAATCAAGTTCAATTGACCTTGATTACCTGCAAATATTTTTTTATTCTATGTCAAATAACGAATAAAAGTTTACAGGAAATAAAAATTTCCAACACAATTGGCATAAATAATTTTAAAAGTTAACTCCAGGTCATATAAAAACATAACTAACAATTTGTTAAAATTGGATAAATAACTTTAAGCAATTAAATAAAACTACATAAAAAACGAGTCTTTTACCAGCATTGTCGACAATCAGCGGCTAGTCATTTTGCACTTGAAATACCGCAACTGTCAAATTCTAAAATTCACACAAATATATGATAATCAATAACTTTACATTGAAATGATTATGACACAAATAAAATAACATTTACCTTTTATAATTTCATCATACTTCTCCACTTCTTTAATAGATACTTCTTTCAAGAGTTCTTGGATATCAATTGTGACAGGTTTTGATCTTAACCAGCTTTGCAAACATACAAGAGCCTCGACCATTTCAGTATTAAGAGAACTTCGATATGGATCAAGAATACGACCACTTGTACTAAAGGCTGACTCGGATGCCACTGTGGAGACGGGGATAGCCAGAACATCTCTGGCTAATTGAGAGAGAATAGGAAATCTAGTAGTATTCTCCTTCCACCACCTCAATAAATCGAAGGACTCAACACTGTTTTCACAATTCTCTTCTAAATATCGAGTAAGTTCTGATTTACTCTGCACACATGCATCTTTCTCCATTTGTTTTGCAAATTGAAAAGCTAGAGAGTTACCTGACTCGACATCATCATCCATGTTCATCACTTCAATTGGAGCCTGACTTGAAATAGCAGCCCCACTTTGAGAATTTTGACAAGGAGAACAATTTTGATAATACTCGTACAAGCGAATCAACAATTTCTTCACCTGCTCTTCCATAACACTAGCCGATGTAGTGTCATTCTCATAAACTTGATTAAGAAAAAACTTCACAAACCTCAATTTATAGCGTGGATCCAATACAGTGGCAGAATAAACAAGAAAATTCAGCTTATCAAGACTTTCCCAATATTTCTTGAATTTTTTCTGCATTTCAAGTGCCATAAGACATACTTTTGGATCTGAGTGTTTAGACAAAGACTTCAATCTGGTTTGGACAGCAACAAGTTCTTGAAAAAATATATTTGATGTTACATGCAAAGTACCAGAAAATTGCAAAGTAACATCATAGAAAAGTTTTAAAAACTTTATAAAAGTTCTCGCAATACTCCAATCATCTTCATCGGGCGGGCCAATGTATTTTCTATCTGTTACCTTTCTTCTTTCACAACTCTCTTCTTCCCCAAAATCTGAATTTCGGTCCCCATCATCATTATCTTTGTCACCCAAAGCAAAGTACATACGATAGCTTGAGTCATCTTCTCTTAGCCTCTCAAACGCTTTATCAAACTTGGTAGCCGCTTCTAGCATTAAATAAGTAGAGTTCCATCTCGTTTCAATATCAAGACAAACTGAACTTTTGCTAGCAATTTTCTCTATATCTGCACATTTTTTAAACGTTTGGAGCCTAGCCGGAGATGAGCGTACATATCTAATGGCATTTCGAATCTTTAGAATTGAATCATTTTGTTCTTTTAAACCGTCCTTCACAATGAGATTTAAAATATGCGCACAACATCTAACATGCAAAAATTCATGATCTAAGACAGTTTTCCACCCTTTAGTGTTCTTCCTCACGTACTTAATTGCGCCATCATTAGGACTTGCATTATCAACTGTGATAGTCAATATTTTGTCTATACCACAATCTAACAAACAATTTTCAATCATTTTACCAATTGTTTTACCCTTATGGTCAGGGATAACACAAAAACTTAAAATTCTCTTTTGCAACTTCCATTCCTTATCAATCCAATGTGCTGTGAGACACATATAGTTGCTATTCTGAATTGAAGTCCATGTATCGGTCGTAAGACATATACGTTCAGACTTTAGAAGACTTCTAAGTTTTTGTTTTTCATCAAAATAGAGTTTCATGCAATCCCTAGCAACAGTCATTCGACTTGGAAGTATAAATCTAGGTTGTAAACAAGCTGAATACTTTCTAAATCCTTCACCCTCCACGATTTTGAAAGGAAGCTCATCAAGAACAATCATTTCAACCAATTTCAACCTACAATCTTCGTAACTATAACTTACAGATTTAAGAGTAAACGATGAAACACCATTCCCATGTAGGCTCTAAAACAAGTGTCTTCTGTTTCTTGTCAACAAGCCTGAAAGGATATTTCTTGCACTGAAGCTGCAAATGGTTTATCAGGTTACCGGTGCCATGTTGTTTGGGGTGAGCTGCATAATCTTGACTACAATAATTGCACGAAGCTCTCGGATTCCCATTTTCCTCAAACCTTTCAAAATGATCCCACACCCATGAGTTCTGCCTGCTCCCAATTCCAGCTCCTTCAGGCTTTTGTTCTTTTGGTGGAATCACCTTTTTTTTTGAAACTTTTTTTCTTATCCTCGAAGGGCAGGGCTTCCACCGGATAGGCCGAGAAGGTGGTTTGACATTTGATTTGGCAGCTGCAGAAGGACCTTCTTTAGAATTGGAACCAATTTCATGAGGTTCAATAGGACTATTTGCATCTTCCATCTGAATAGTAAAAAAAAAAAACATAAAGAATATAAAATCAGAAATTAACAAACTTTCTTTAGGCTTTTGTAATTTACAATAGGATAAGACAATGACCCGTTGAAGAGTATTGATGAGAAAGATACAAAATTAAAATACAAACTGTGAACTTTCGTAAACAAACACACACATGCATGATTCATCTCAAATTTTCAATTTTATATAAATCTACAAATACATTAACAATTTAACATAAACTAAAAAAATATGAATGAAATTTTACCTTTTTGAATTAAAGGTATAGCTGTACCTCTTTGATTGATTTAAAATTGAAGGAGGAATGATATTATGTGAAGCTTGATAGTTGTCGAAACCAAGTGCTTCTTCAATTAAAGAAAATGGAAGAAAGATTGAGAAAAGTGTAGAGTACAAACGACATACGATTGTTCTTGTTGAGAGATGGATAAAGCCTGGGGTTGGAGACTTGGAGGCGTAAAATATTCTAAACCCTAGAACTGGGAGATATTTGATATATATATGATATAAAGGCGGGTCGGGTTGTGGGGCGGTTTTTTTTATTTAAACCCGAAATCCGACCCAAATAACTCGGGTTACAAATACCCCAACTGCTATGCAGAATTATAAAAAAAAAACATGCGGGTTGCGGGCGGGTTGGGTCGGGTCGGGCGGGCGGGTCGGGTTTGGCGGATTTTTGAACACCCCTAGTTCTGATTTTGTAAAAAAAAAAAAAATCCTAATTTTTTTTAAAGGCACTGTCCCATAACCTCCAAAAATTTAAATCTACTCCGTAATATATTCCTGGATTCGTCACTGGCCTTAAGTATCATTAGTAACACTTACCCCTGAAGTCCATTTAATTTTAGAGTTTTTTGCAAACCGCACCCCTATAATAGGTCTAATCGAAAATGTCATGTGTTAAAAATGTTAATATTTGTCGCCCTATGCATTTAGTCAAAGCCAACAAGACCCTTATGATTGTGAGTAGATCATGTATTATACTTCGGTCCAGGCGAGTATTTCTTTCAATTTTTCTTATGAAATGACATAAATATCCTTTTATAAATAAAGATAAACTCAATTTGATTTCACTATAAACAATCTAAAGTTGTAGGATCAAATTTTAATTTCAAAAATTCCTGAAAAAACCCAAATTATCATCAAATCCTCAAGCGTCCTCTTTCTTCACCGACTTCATCATCGTGCTCAAATGATCATGGTCGCCGGCGGTCACACCACGACACCGCCACCACAACAGCTGCGGAACCACCACAACCGCTGCCACAACACCGCCACCACTACCACAACCGTGGAACGGCGAAATCGAATCAGAAGGCTTCAATTGCACATTCGTCTTCTTAATTTCTCTTTTTTCTCCTACAAAGTTTTGTATGTTTTGGAGAAAATTACTGGAAAAAAACAATCGTGATCGACACAAATTCATGGGATCGACTGTAGTAACAGGAGCAGCACAAATATTCGGTTTGAAGCCATAGTCAAGGACAATTATTTCTGAAATTTCGTTTATTCAGCTGTCAAAATAATTATTGAACTTGATTATAATGGAAGTCTATCTTAAAATCATAATCATTCATAATTTTCTAATTGCACTGTTATTATGACTATTATTGGGACTGTATGTGAGAAGAATGAAGAAAAAAGGCTTGCTGCGGGCAAGACAAATCTAGTTAGGGGTAAATTAGTCATATAGAATATTAGCACATTTTGTGCAAAATGGGAAAATAATAGTGTCCTAGTAAGAAAAAAAAAATTAATGGAAAAAAATAGTGTCCTAGTAACAAATTTTCCCTTTTAACTTATTGACATAAATAATTAATTCCTTTGATAAAACAAACCAAATCAATATATATTGTCAACACCAACAAAAATGATACATATATAAATATCAATTCAAAAAGCTTAGCTGAATACTAAATATCAGCTTTATTGGCAATGAAGGGAATTTAAATACAACCTACATATATAGTGTAGAACATATGTAGAAATCGAAATGAATAGAAAAAGATTGAGCGTATATATATTATCACTATATATCTAGTTAAACAAAGCGACGGCAACCGCAAAGAAAGTGAAGGGTAAAGCTGCAACAGCAAACGATGGGGCAGAATTGCTCGGCGGAGGAGGAGGAGGAGTTGGGGTTGACGGTGTAGATGGGGTTAAACCACCGGAGCTGGGTGGAGGAGTGACGGTGGAAGAAGGTGGTGGAGCGGAGCCGGAAGGAGGTGTGGCGGTGGAGGAAGGCGCTGGAGCTGAGCCGCCGGTGCCGGCAGTGACGTTGATGGCTAACTTTTGGCCCCAGGAACAATGCTGAGTGATGGTGCATATGTAGTAGTTTTCGCCGGCTGAGGAGAGGGTGATCCTGGCGGGGCCGGTGGTTATGGGCGCGGTGGTGGTGGTGCTGATGTTACACGAGTCGAATTCTGCCTTTGTCACCTCTGCCACATCATGTTGGCGGTTTGAAAAGTTGAAAACTGCATTTCAATAGTAATTAATTAGTACATAGTTCTCATGAGCGACAAGAAAAAATATACAGTTAAACCTCTATAAATTAATAGTTTCAGGACTAACAAAATTCTTTTAATTTAGCAAACTAATAATTTAATAGGCTTTTACCGAGTCGGGACCAGAAGAAACTATTATTTAAGCGAAGTTATTAATTTATCGAGATTCTACTATGTATATATATAATATAATAATAAAAGACTGACCTAAAATGTCTCCAACCATGAAAGTCTTGCCCATAGCCCATGTTCGGTATGCAATAGGCCCACCGGGTGGTACGGTCCATCCAAGGCTGTCTCCGACGACGTAAGTCATTGGGGTGGGTGCAGGTGAAGCTGCTGGCGGAGGGGTGGCGGGCACCGCCGGTGATGGGGTGGTTTCCGGTGCAGCTGGAGCCGGTGGAGTGGTGGGTTGTGGTGAAGGAGCGACAGAGGCGGCCGAGACGTTGATAGACAATTTCTGACCCAAAATACAATGGCTACCGAAAGTGCAAATGAAATTGTATTCACGGGCAGATGTCAAAGTAATCGTAGTTGGCCCGGTTGTCGACATCGTGATTGGGTTGTTGGCATTGCACGAGTCGTACGATTCCTTCGTCACCTCTGCCACGTCATGCATTCCCGTCGTAAAGTTGAACACTGCATTAATTAATATCCATTCATACCAAGTCAAATTAGTTGAAAGATAACAAATTGAGGTCGTTACGTACCGAATAACGTGACATTTTTGTCAAAATTAGTGTGTAAAGTATATAATATAATGCCCAGCAAAGTTTTCATTGACTAAAGTCATGTTCTTGACCTACAACGCAAGCATTTTCGTATATTGATGCTACTTCATCTAAATTTTAATTATCAATTAAACTCGTAATAATAAAGGTTTACGGCATTTAACATTCATACTCTAAATTGTCAAAAATCTCCCCGTACTACACGAGAAATTAGATGCTACACTTGGTTATTTATACGACTGAATCGATTTGAACCGTAAAATTTACATATAATCACACACAACACCCATGTGTATGTGTGCTTAGTGGATAGTTATTTAATCAAATATGCAGTCCAAATCCACCGGTATAATAACCAGGTGCATAAAAATATATTCAGGGGGATGTGTATTAAAAAAATTACATCTCGAGGATTTTTTTAATAATATATATATATATATATATATATATATATATATATATATATATATATATATATATATATATATATATATATAAAACGAGGAGTTTGTTAGGACATAATTCAGTCTAACAGAACGTTACTACGTGCAACGAATTAAATTACTCATATAATAAGAGTAATAAACAATAACTGGTGAAATGAAACATAACTATACATAAATATGACATACCGATGATGTCACCAACAACGAAAGTTCTAGTAGCGGCCCAAGTGCGATAAGCAATATCTCCACCGGGTGGGACAATCCATCCGATGGAGTCACCGGCAACGTGTGTTGTTTGGGCAGAGGAGCCATTTAGCATAGCACCTACAAACATCAATGCCATAAACACAACCACATTTAATCTTCCTTCCATCTTTGCTTTTATTTTATGTTCTAATAAATCTCAGGTCGCCCCTTCTCTATACTGTCTCTCTTTGTGTTTGATATTTCGCTCAAAATATATATATATATCACTATATCTAAATATAATGATATATATAGTGTTAAAGTTCAAGTAAACCTCAAGAAGTGGTGATATTTTGGCATAACCAATATGTTACTCTATTTATATAGAGAAGATAAAATAACTCTAATTAAAGTCATGTCCCAATGCCATGACTCATGGGTTCTTAAAGTTTGACTAGTAGAACATTCGTATATATGGATGATACGTGTCAAAATATTGACTCTTCCGGGCAAAAGAAAATTTGATTTTGACCAAAGATAGATTTTATGGAATGGAATTATGGGATTTGTGGAAAATAATGGCCGACTATAGTATGACTTTATTGTTAATTTAGGTATGAAGCCGTGTCTTTAAGGCCACTTTCTTGGACTTGAGGACGTTGACTTGGTCATCACTTTGTGGTTTCTTGGAATTTTATGGCATCGTACCAATTAAGTCTAGAAATATGAACTTGTCTTTTAAATCAACCCATATGAAGTCTCGTGCGAAGTTACTTGTCTTCTTATTGTAGCATATATATATATATATATATATATATATATATATATATATATATATATATATATATATATACGATACACATGGTATTAAGTGTTCTAATAAATTTTTGATGATAAAAAATTATTGAAATAGTAAGATGAATGGTTGATATGCAAGTAGAAAAATATTTCATAAAAAATTATTTCGTTTGGCGTAACTGATGAATTAAGCAAAATAAGTGGAAAAGTGTTGAGTGTATATTTTACACTCAATGTATACTTTCTTACGAGGATTTTAATTTGTATACTTTTATTGATTTAATGATGCTTAATGAGTGTTTTATTGTATTTTAGGTACAACTTGACGATTTGGGAGTTCCAAGGACGAAACAAGCCAAAAAAGTTCAAAAACGGGCAAAAACGGAAGAAAACAAAAATATGCTGAAAATTGCACGGCGCGGCCGTGCCAAATTTAGCCTATTTTTGGCGCGGCCGCGCCAACTGCAGAATGAGGGCAGAAGGTTTCGGCGATTCTCGCGCAGCCGTGTGAGAATTGCACTGATTCTCGCGCGGCCGTGTGAAAACACGCTGGAGATAATTTTGGAGTTTTAATCACACAAGGAAACCTAAAATCTTCTACCAATTTGGGACATCTATTTAAAGGCAAACCGAGCACGAATTAATGGACTTTTGAACACAATCTTAGAGGAAGAGGAGCGAGAGAACGGATAAACGAAGATGGAGAATTGACAAACCTTCATCATATTTCTTCTTTCACCTATCTTTTCTTGATCTATGACTTTTATTACTTTTATTATGTTTTTCGTAGACAACATGAGTAGCTAAGTTTTTAATCTAGGATTTTGTTGGAACCCTATGTGGGGATGGTGAACCCGTTTTCTTGAGATTATGCAATTATAATTTTATGATTATTTCATCTGCTTGTTATGATTGTTAGTGCATGAACCTGATCAATTTATGTGTTTTATCTGTGTTATTGGGATTGGCTCGACAGAGCTATTTTGATAATTAGACGGTACGTATAAGAACCTTCGAGTAGTTTTCACCGGATGAGTGTGTCAATTGCATGTGGTATACATATATCACCTTAAGTAGCCATTTACGAGACTTGTTAGTTAATGCTTTATTCATAATTGGTTTTCATAGACATATAGTGAACCGTTTATGAATATTAGACTCATAATACACGCGACAGCGGGTTATGAGTAAATTAGTGTCTCGGGTTAAATAATCATGAATCATATATTTCATAATTGAGGGGTTTTGGGTGAGCAATTCTTGCATAGGGGGAAGATAAAATCATAGGTCCATTTTTATTGATATTTTCTCGTGTTTATTTGCTTTCATAATTAGTTTAATTATTTAGTTGATTAGATTTGACAACTTTGCGTATGCTGGATAAAAATCATAATTGTTAGAATTTGGTACTTAGGATTAGATAATTTGAGTATTCCATGTGGGATCGACATCCGACTCTTACGAGTCCACTTTTACTACTTGTTTGCGATACGTGCACTTGCGTGTGAGGGATTTAGCCTCAACAAGTTTTTGGCGCCGTTGCCGGGGAATACGGCTAAATTATCTATTTATCCTAATATTAAATTTGAGCAATTTTTCTTACTTCAGCCGTTTTTATTTTTTTTATTTAATTATTCTATTTGCTTATTTTATTTTTATTATTTTTCTTTTAGGTGCTTTTTATGCGAAGAGGACACGACACGAACTTGCTACCTTTTGATCCCGAAATTGAGTGAACGTTTAGCACGCAAGGAGAAATCAACGGTTAGCTCAAAACGTTCCCGCAACAACGGAAGAAGAATATAATCGCAGGGGAGATGACCAAGGACGCTTACTAAATGCGGCAGGAAATATCGTCAACGGGCAAGAGCAACAGCAGCTCATTAATCCACCACCTCGTCAACGAGCATTGCATGAGTACACCGTTACGACACTCAATGAGTTTCAATCAAGCATCCAGCAGCTCTCTATTGAAGCCAACAATTTCGAAATTCGAGCTGGACTCCTTACTATGTTCCAAAACAATGGGTTGTTTAGCGGATTAGCTCATGAAGATCCGCATCTCCACTTGGTCAACTTTCTCGAAACGTGTGATTCGTATAAGATGAACGGAGTATCTCCTGAAGCACTGCAACTCCGCCTTTTCAAGCACTCTTTACAAGGAGCAGCCCGAGAATGGTTACAAACTCGTGCACTGCACTCCATCTCGTCTTGGCCCCAGCTAGCACAACTCTTCATGAACACATACAACTCCCCAACCAAAACTGAGAGAATCCGGAGAGAAATACAAAACTTCATACACGAAGCCGGTGAAGCATTATTCGAGACGTGGGAGCGGTTCAAACAACTTATTCGGAGATGCCCGAATCACGGTCTTCAAGAGTGGCGGCAACTTCAAATATTTTATGATGGATTGCAAGATAATTCGAGAACGGTGCTCGATTCAGCAGCTGGAGGTATGTTCATGAGTTTGACCTACGACGAAGCATACGAACTTTTGGAGCAAATCGCTAGAAATAAATACATGCGGGCATCGGACCGGTCAAATAGTGGAGCCATTAAGACGGGAGGAATTTTGGAGTTAGACGGGGCCACCGCAACCACCGCCCAGTTAGAAAAGCTATCAAAGCAAGTAGCAGCTTTGCAGACTCAGTCCATGCAGTCAACGGTCCCGACCAGTGCTTAGAAGAAACGAAGTCTCTAAATTACGTGAATGATACCAACCGACAACAGAGGAACCCGTACTCCAACACATATAATCCGAGATGGAAAGATCACCCCAACTTTGGATGGGGAGGAAATCAGCAAGGACAAAGGCAAGCACCACCTCAAGGTCAACCTCCTAGTTATTCACAGCCAACTCCCGGTTTTCAAAATCCGCCTCAAGCTCCACCTCAAGGTGGAGATCTCGCAAACATCTTAGCTCAATTTATGACATCCACTCAAGCCTCCATACGAAATTTGGAAACACAGATGGGGTCAACATGCAACCCAGCTAAACGCGAGGCCATCAGGAGCATTGCCGTCGAATACGGAAGATCCTCGGAAGAGCAACATCGAGCAGTGCAACGCTGTAAGTTTAAGGAATGGGAGACAATTGGAGGAAGCCCCACGAGAAGAGAAGAGAAACACGGTAATCGAAAAGCCGAGTGTGATTGGGGAAAAAGAAGAAACTCACGAAGAACCACTATCATCAACAGTGAAATCACGAGGCCCTCCAATTTCATACTCTCAAACGTTTCTAAAGAAGAAGCTTGATGCCGAATACCAAGGGTTTTTGGAAAAGTTGAAGGAGATTCACATAAATATCCCTTTTATCGAAGCCCTTCAAAAGATGCCAAAGTGGGTGAAATTCCTCAAGGATCTCGTGACAAAGAGGAAGAAATTGCAAGGGAACGAGATGATCCAACTCACGGAGCAATGCAGTGCAATTCTTACACGACCCCTTCCACAAAAACTCGGCGATCCAGGTAAGTTCACTATTCCTTGTACTATAGGAGGTAAAAATTTTAGATCGCTCATTGATTTAGGCGCTAGCTTAATCTTATGCCTTATTCCACTTATAAAAATCTTGGGTTAGGTGAGATTGAACCGACGGCTATAACTCTTCAATTAGCCGATAGGTCTTTAGTTTACCCAAAAGGTATTTTAGAGAATGTGCTAGTAAAAGTGAACAAATTTATCTTCCCTATTGATTTCGTTATACTTGATATATATGAGGATAGGGATATACCTGTTATTTTAAGGAGACCATTTTTATCCACGTCGAAAACGCTAATTGATTGTGCTAGTGGTGATCTTACAACGACGGTGCATGATCAAACAATCAAATTTAATGTTTTTAGTACTAATAAAAATCCATGTGAAATAATGAGTGCTTTACTATTGATCTTATGGATTTTACAAATCATGAAAAATTTGATGTTTCGATCTTGGACCATGGGAAAGCATCTTTGAGTGCAGGAGATGATGGCGGAAAAGGGAATCGGAAAGAGCAAGTCTATTTTGCGGACTCAATTTCAACTCCTCCTAGAGATAGTCAAAAGAGTTGGGGTGCTAACGGCGATGAACGTGCAAAGAGGATGTGGCCACCTAAAGAACCAAACAAGCATTATCAGGGAGAAGATTTCAATCGCCAAGTGACTTTGGTCACGTTAGCTTGAACAAAGAAGCAGACAAAGTCTGGCTGAAGACTGTAAACTTAGCGCTTCTCGGGAGGCAACCCGAGATTTTCATTTTTTTTATCATTTCTTTTTTTTGTTTCATTTTATTTATTTATTTTATAAGCATGCAAGCTAACAATTTAAATATGTTTTTAATTTATAGGACAAAAAATTGCAGCTCTGGAGCTCATACGACTGTCCCAAAACAAGGCAAAATTTCATACGGCCGTCCGAAAAATCTGGGAAGCTACTGCCCAATTTTGGCTTGGGGCGCGGCCGCGCGAAAAACATACTATAATCTCACACGGCCGTGCGAGAAACAGACAGCTACTGCCCAATTTTGGCAATTCGCACGACTGTGCGGAAAACAGTTCAAAATATCATACGGCCGTGCGAAGCGCAACAGAAGCACAATAAAAGGCGAAAATTTCAGCAGCCCGAACATGGCCAAGACGACTAATTCAGGTGTATTCTATCCTTAAACTTCATGCTAATTA